AAATATATTTATGTTTGTGGTTGTAATGTGACAAAATATGGAAAAGTTCAAGGGGTATGAATACTTTTGCAAACCACTGTATAGTACAAATTGTGTCTGAAAGCCTAATTATTATTCTACGTGCTGAATGCCTTCAATAAAAGTAATTCAGACTTTATGTCTAGCAATTGTTACTGTTATTCTCTCAATCTAAGCATCTCTCCTTTTTATTCAGCTGTTGTTGGTTCAGGCAGTCCGACCCGATCGGCTGCAAAGTGCCATGATATCATTTGCCTCCCAGGCCCTTGGTAAGTAAATGATATTGGTCTTCTTTTAATTCTTTTTAAATGAGTGTTTCCTTAATAGGCTTGTGCTCTGTTTATTTCAATTACCAATTAAGTAATCCAATGAGTAATTATTTCAGTTCAAATTTTAGTTGTGTTTTAAAGGGTTCTTAGTTGCTCTTATTTGGTTAGACTGGTATCTGACAAATGAGTACAAATAGAGTGACCGTATTTCTTTGCTTAATACTGTGCTGCAGATGTTTGACACCTTTGTTTTGTAAGAAAATTGTAATCGATAAATTGGAAGTCTGAATAAAATAGCAGAAAACTACTTCTTGGACTCACAGCAGCAGGCCTGTGAGGAAAAGGCCTTGGCCCTATCAAAACAACAATAACAATCCCTCTCAGTGGACCAGGCTGTTCCAGGCTGATCTAAGGGAAAGACTGCACTAATGAATAATGATAAATCACCTCTTAAAGTATATGTCTGACTTCCTGGTCACACTTCTGGAAGCGGTACCTTTTTATGCCAGGGTTTAGAACGTAACCAACCTTTTTTTATACAGAAAAAAACTTTAGGTTAAGTAATTAACCCCGGTTCTCTGAAACATGATATCTCACAATGGGACATGCCCCAGCCTGTTCCCCCAGAAGCTCTATTACATTATGCCAGTCTTGACTGGCAGAAAAGTGACATCAGCTCCAGGAGGAGGGACTTCCTCCCAGTATAAAGCCTGACGTTACGCATGTGATCTTCAGTCTAGTAAGCACACCTCTTCCTCGCTCCAGGCAAGGAGGGTGATCTGGTGAGATACCTCACTCATGTTTCAGAGAACCGGGGTTAATTCCTTAACCTAAAATTCTCTTTCAACATTTGTTTTGGTATCTCACTATGGGATATGGTGACTCCCGTATTGCCAGATAAGCTTACTCGAAGACCAACAGATGTATCCCACAGTTATCCGGACTTGGATCCCACACCCAGAACTGTATGAGCCAATGCGGGTGCTGTCACATCCAGTCTATAGAACTTAGTGAAGGTGTGAGGGGTTGCCCAACAGGCAGCATCACAAATGTCCTCCGTAGGTATACCCTGAAACAATGCCCAGGATGAGTCCATACCACGAGTGGAGTGGGCTCGCAGACCTGCAGGGGGTGCAAGTCCTCTGATCTCATAAGCCATAGTAATAGCCCCAACTATTCAATGTGAAAGGCACTACTTCGTCAGGGGTTTACCCTGGTCTGGTGGAGACACAAACAGCTGTTCTGATTTGCGAAAATTGCTGTTTTCTCCACATAGATTTGCAGGGCACGTACAGGGCAGAGCCTATGTAGCCATTCATGCTCCTGAGAGGGGAATGGTGGTGGGTTAAAAGCCATTAACTCAAGGGGATGACATGGTAGGGCTGAGTTAACAACCTTTGGTGTGAAAGCAGGATTGGGTTTTAATAAAACCTTAGAATCCTCACCAAGAAACTGCATGCAGGATGGGTTCACTGAAAAGGCCTGAATGTCGCTCACACGTTTGGCAGAAACCAAGGCAACCAACAAAGCTGTCTTAAATGAGAGCACTTTAAGTTCAGCCCGTTCCAATTGTTCAAAAGGTGCATGTGACAAAGCCTCAAGCACCACTGGTAAGTCCCATAGTCCCATGAAGGGGTGAGACTTCTAGACACTGGCCGGAGCCGTCTTGCACCCTTTATGAACTGGCGCACCAGTGGGTGTTGCCCTACTGTTTTCTCTCCAAAGCCTACATGGCCAGCTGAAATGGCTGCCAAGTAGACTTTTAACAGTTAAAAAGGCTAAGCATTTATCCAACAGCTCCTGCAGGAACATCAAAATGACCGACACAGAGCGCTGCATTGCATTCACCATGGTTTTTTCATACCAACGCTCAAATGCACGCCATTTTCCATCATAAGTGCTGCATGTTGAGACTGCTGTAGCATTTTGAATAGTGTCAATAATGTTCTGGGGAAGCCCACTGGCTTCCAGATCTATCCTCTCACAGGCCAGGCCCATAGAGCCATGTGCTCTGGGTGAGGGTGAAATATTTCTCCGCATGCCCATGTTAGGAGATCTCTGAGGAAAGGGAGCCTCCACGGCTCGCCATGTAGTGATCTCTGCTAGCCAGTGTTTTCCTGGCCAGCGAGGGGCTATCAGAATGAGTGAATGTTTCCCCTCTCATACTCTGGCAAGGGTGGAAACAATCAGTTCTAGTGTTGGGAAAGCATACAGTAGAACCGACGGCCACTTGTGTACTAGTGCATCCAGTCATAGTGGGGCACCCCCCTCGGTCAGGGAGAAGAACCTCGGACATTGAGTGTTTTTATGTGACACAAAGAGGTCCACCTCCACTCGGCCGTACCTCTCCCATATCTGGGTTATGACCTTGCGGTGGAGTTTCCACTCTTTGTAGCGGGGACTGCCCCTCGACAGCAGGTCTGCACCCCTGTTCATTACTCCTGGCGGAAGCTTCCTGACGGGTTTCGTTCAAAAGGTTGAACCAAAAGGGGCAGCTGGTTTGGTGACCAGTTGAAGTTGCTGCTGTTTGATGACAGACCAGAATAAGAAAAACTCAAAACAACCAAATACAGTTATTGAGGAGCATTTGGCGACAGTGTTGTTAGCTCACTCTGTGAACAGTCAAGCTGGCTCAATAATAGTTGTATAGTTATCTGAGAGTTACTTCTGGGAGCGAGAAGAGGTGTTAGACTGAAGATCTCCTGCGTAACGTCAGGCTTTATGCTGGGAGGAAGTCCCTCCTCCCGGAGCTGATGTCACTTTTCTGCCATTCAAGACTGGCGTAATTTAATAGAGCTTCTGAGTGACAGGCTGGGGGCGTGTCCCATAGTGAGATACTGAAACGAATGTTGAAAGAGAACAGCCTCATAATGATAAGACACACTGACTCTCACTCTCTGTTTAAACCATTGGGCTACACAAAGTGTAAAATACAAGACTGGATCTAAAATTCAGTTAATCAGTCTCAAAATTTCTTTCAGTTCCTTAAAGTTAATAGATAGTGGCATTGTGTATAGTAGCTATGGGCGGTCCATCACTTGAAGTAGACAGTGGTCAGTATGGTTACAGCTTGAAGAACTAAGCTATGCTAAAGTGACTGTATTATGTAGCTGATTACAATATTTTGTTAGTTATGTACAGTATAAGGCTCACCAAAACACATTGCCTTTAAACATCCTGAATCTTTGCAAAGAGAGAGCTATTATAATCTTAAGGGGACAGAGATGTTCATGAAACCTAAATTTAGAACATGTTTGAAAGAACGGTGCACCTCAATCCAAGGAGTCAGATTGTGGAATAATCCGGAAAATGATGTTAAAAGTGCCAAATCAAAGTACATGTTCAAGAGAATGATAAAGGTTGGATTGTTGAAAAAAAGTGAAACAGTGTAATGTGTAACCATATAATTTGTTGTTCTAGAAAGATTTGATGTTCTTGTTTTGTTTTGTTAACTAAAGTTTACCGTTGTTTGAATTGAGGAAAAAAGGGGCAGATATAAGATTTTTATTCCTCTCTCTGCTTCCTTTCATTTCATTGTATTTGTATTTTTTATTCTTATTGTATATAATTTTTTGTTTTTTAATTAAATGAATAAAGTTAAACAATAAACAACATTAAATACTATAACATTTTTATAAAATTTACTGTGGATTCTTACATGGCAACACTTTTCCTTCATCATCTACTTGGCCAACTGAGCAGTATCATTAACAGCACAACGAATCCTGCTGCTGAGTTGCTGCCTTTCTAAATCCAACACTGAACAAGACAAAAAAAAACTTCTGAAAATAAGTAAAAATACAACCTTTACAGTTGCAGAAGTAAAGCCATGCAGTGAGCTGTTCAACAAGTTTGACTCAACTCCTGACAGACAGCAGGGTGTCAAGCAGTCGCAGTGCCATAAGAACCTGTAGGAACTCAGACATTGTTGGATGGAGAAAAAAACTGACTCATGCAAAAGTGACTCACCTTCAGAACCTCACCTGATCGGGTAGTAATTTCGGCCTATGTTACTGTTTTTCATCATTGGACAAAAGACATTAGTGCTAAAGGCACGGATATAACAGACTCTGTTTTAMCCAGTCGGAAACAACATTTAAGACTTCTGTTTAATATTCTTTTAGTCATTGGAAATATTGAACTTAATCCAGGTCCAGATAAAAATGTTTTTATGTCCACTTTTTATATTTTATGGGATTTTATACATATGTTTTTAATAATTAACTTGACCTGGGTTTGTGCACAGGTGTATCTTATATAAATCCAACTCAATTACAGTCTACACAGGGATCTATATTATATCCTGAAAAGGTTAGACAAACTCCTGTTATGTCAAGTCTGAACACTACATCAGTAAGAAAGCAAAAGCAATTTTCCTGTCTAAAAAACAAATCCAGGGATGCTAAATCAGCTAGGTAAAATTAGAGGCTTTAAAATCTGTCATTTAAATATGAGAAGTCTTGTTGTACCTAAACTGGATGAATTC